AAAAAAACAGTTTTCATTTTTTCCACTAGCTCTAAACGCATTTTTCCACACAACTGCAACGCAATCTTGGACCGTGATAGCTCAGTTTTAGTGCGCCATTCACATGCTTCACCTGATGTCATCCAACGAGGCATGGAGGAGCCATGGCACGTACTACTTACATGCCAGCTATCTGGTATCTAATATGCCGTTTGGCTGTGGCAGTTGAGTTTGTCCTGGTCTTCTTCTTTACGTTTTTCGTGTGTGTGGTAATCTTATTGCCCCTGGAGCCTCGTCATGTGGCTGACTTTAGACGGTTTCAGTTGCCTTCAATATGATTATATATTAGAGCGGGGTAATGTTCTCTTCGAATTCTGTTTGCAACAGTCTCCCAGAGAAACAAAAAGTGAAAGTCATTTTGTTAATGTTGTGCATTCCATGCGGCTGTAGTTGTTGTTGCATGTCATTGTCTGTAGACACAATCCTTTGACAGTTCAGTTTATAACGACTATCAGATCGCATTGCGGCCCTTGGGTCGTATGCGCAATATCACGCATACGCAGCTAGCATGAGGCTGCAGTTTTAATTGAATTCGAGCGAATTGAAAGTTTTGCCTGCAGTTGTATTTGTTGCCGTTTAAAGTTTAAATTAATTTCCAGTTGAGTTTTCACAAAAGTTGTTTAATGAGTTTAGTCGATGAATTTTAACAATCAAAGTGCTGTGGGGAATAGCCTCTCCTCGACTCTCTCTCTCTATTGTCGTTAAGTGAAATGAGTGCAGGAAATACCCTAAAGCCACAATGAATGGGAATATTTGGTTAGGTAGACCAGTAAATATTAAGCCTCAGTCACAACTCATTTACTCACTTACTGATTCATCTCTATAGACATAAAACCCAACCCATTTTCTGGGAACTTAAAAACCTCAAAAAATCAACACTTTGTATGCCAATGGGATGTTTTTTTTTTTATATATATTTTGGGTCATTTAATGCATGTGTTCATCAAATTTTTCGGCTATCAATCATTTCCGCTCCAAAATAAAACTAACTGTCCCAATATTTTATTCGCAACACACAAGTCCAGGTATGATATAACCTTTTATGCTACATTCGGTGCCCCGAACGCGCCGCCCCCCACTCGATTCAATATCAGCTGCATCAATCACATTAGCTCTGACTTTGACTCAAAACACGTACTCGGCGCCCAAGTATGCGCTATGACTGACTGATATACCGCACTACGTATCGCCCCGCTGCAGCCTCTTGAGCTGTTATGTGCATTTTAAATTGTCAGCTCGGCGTCGTCATCGACCAAATGGATTTGCGTACGAGGCGCAGGCGCCAGCGACGACGTCAGCCTCTATAACACGCGGTGCTATACTTGAGCTACAACTACAGAAACTACAAATAACAATAACAGACACCAATATACTGGAAATATGATAACAACAACAACAACAACAACAACTACAACAGCAAAAACAGCAACAATTTGCTCTCAAGTGATGTCATGCATTTGAATTTATGCCGAACCGGCGCCCCAGCCTCTTTAATCTCCATTCGTTCAGCGCTGATGATGTAAATATTTTTTTTTCGCAGTCAAAATGCCTCGAACTACGCTTCAATTACAATCTCTCAGCTCTTTGGTGGATTTTATTTTAGAGGGCATTATCAATTTGTTACGAAATGTGCAACGCATAGAAGGAAAAGCTGCTTGACCATAAGGTATATATTTTATATACCTTAAAAACTGTCATAGAAAAGATTAAGTCGGAAATGGATTTCCTTAGTAAAAATGTTTTTGTTTTTTTCAAGATATCTTGACCGCATTTGGCATTTACAGGTTTCACTATGATCCATGCTTACATGAATGTGCATCGAATATATAATGTAGCTTCATAATAAAAGCTCTTCTGTTTTTTAGGATATCACGAGGGAATACTGGGCTGACCCTCAAAGAGTATTTAGTGTTCGGCGTCACGCACATATTCGTTCCTTTAATTTTTTGACCAGATATTAAGTTTTTTTTTTATGAATTTTTTATGGCTTTTCTGTTTGCATTGACATCAAAATGTCACTTGAATTGTTGAAATATTTTCAATTAATTATTTGCAACGCTTGAGAAAAAAACGTTATTTTTTTTTTATTAATTTCTGCGCAAATATTTGGGCAAATTAATAACAGAGCAAACACGCAGCAAATTTAGCTTTCACATTTTCTTCGGGAAAATTAGGAAAATGCCTGAGACGGGCAGCGGCTATTTGCCGAGTGCAGAAGCGTCCAGTTGGCCCTCGGGCAGCGAATATTGTTTTTTTTTTTTTAATTTTTGGGCTGACGCAAATGTTTGGCGCGTGTCTGTGGCACAGTTGACACTTTTTCCGGTGCCCATCAGCCCAGTCTGCCCGCCCACCCCTGCTAGCTTTGGTGCTGCCCAATTTGCTTTAAATGCAGCATATCCCTGCCAGTCCTGCTGCTCCTGCGGCTCCCATGGCTTTGTGTGTGTTGTAGGTGGACACACGCATTTGTGTAGCTAGATTTGCTGCTGTTGCTCGACATGCTTTGGCCTCGTTGCCATGTTGCCTGCCTGTCGTTCGTGTCAACAATAAATCAAAAGTTTTATCTTGTTTGTGTGCCCTAAGACCCGAAGAGTCAGGCCCAGAGCCGGAGCCGGAGCCGTAACCAGAGCCAGAGACAGAGCCAAATAGCCAGACATATTACTGCGTCAGCCCTCATGCCATCTTTTGCAGTGCCAACAAATTTTGCTTGACTCTAGACGTTGTGTTGCATTGTGTTCTTATGTGGCTGTTGCTGCCACTATCATAATGACAAACATTTTGCTAGCCGGCCATCATGTTATATATATACTTATATCTGTGTGTGAGTGTGTGTAGCTGTATGATGCATGGCAAGGATTTGCTTAAATCCTTGAGGCTGCGCACTCCGTACTCAATCATGCCGTCAAATTGTTTGCCAACATGTTGAAAATCCGCTTGCCAGACGCAAACACAAACATAAACATTATTCAGTTTGATTTCCATTTGCATTTGCTCCAGTTTTTTTTCGCAATGAAAATTATTTCCGTTTAGCTGTAATTTATATGCCTGGTCCTGTGCCGCGCTCAGTCCTTCTGTGTGTGTGTGTGTGTGTGTGCTGCAGCTGCTTCGCGTTGCGCTTGCCACATTTTGTTGATTTAACGGCTATGCAAAGTCTGCGTCAATTTATTGACCAACTCACATGTGTAGGCGTGGCTGATTAATAAGTGTACGTTCCTCTGCCCCATTTGGGCATGCATACATTTGTTTAAATTTGTTGATTCAAATGTCAAGGCAAGCATCAGGTTTGTGGCGCGTCTCACTCACAAATTAAACGCAAATCACAAAATTCTAAATCTAAATCCAAAGCAATCAAATTGACGCTTCAAGCGACCAATTTGGTAAGACACAAATTTGCCAAAAAGATAAACGCATGCATAATACACGCTCACGGTCCAATAACAGAAGAACAAATTATAACTTAAATCGCCTTCTAGCTCTAAGACCGTAAATTATATCGTTTTCGCAATTTGCCACGCCCCAAGAGCGGGTAATTTAATCTAATGGTACCGAACATAACTAATATACTCTTTTTCACTTTGTGAACGAGCTTTAAAATTTGAGTGCAAATTGTATGCAAATTTCATATTATAAAAGGTGACTAATACAATTTGACTTATAGTTCACCTCGGTGGGGGGCTGTGTGTGTGTGTGTGTGGATCGCAGCCGCCGACTGAATCATCAGTCGGTAAACTAGCTGCCTCTTATCATACCAGTTGGCCACGTGAGTGCTGATAGAGCCACCGCAGCCGGGAGCCATTCAAAAGTGCCTGCTTTGCATAACATTTAATAAAAGCTGCGACTTTGACTATCGCAAATTGTATAAATATTTGATAGCAGCTCGTTTGTATCAATATTTGCGTGTGCGTGTGCGTGTTGGTGTATGTGTGTGTGTGTGTGTGTGTGTGTGGCATTCAACAGAAACTATTGTGGCTAAAGTTGTTGAAACTTAAAGCCACAAATGGGGATATTGGAAATTATTACGCATACGCCACGTGCACCGCATAAGAGCGACCGATAAATGCAATTGTTATACGACTGTGAATGAATATTGAATGCGTTTTGTATACCCTGCAAAACGAAATATGTGTCAAGTGGGTATATTGAACTGCGTACAAGACATGACTAGACCAAAACCTCAACCCTTACCCTAACTCTAACAGAAACTAGCGCTATTTACGCAGAAGCTCAAATGTGTTTTTTATTACACTGTATTTCGATAGATTTATCGATTGATTTTTGAGAGCCTATCACACTTTTCAACACTGCAGTGCCACTCTACTGCCAAGCACTTTATTTAATTATATGACTGCGCCATAACGCCCACTTTTGTTAATGGGTCCGCCCTATCGCTTTTAACACTTTCCTGTTATTGTTGTTTGCGGGCAATTTTTGTCAGCATATGCCGCAAGCGGCGCTTAAAATATTGCACGTGACGATAGTGTTAAAAATAAACATAAATAAATGTGGCGCTGTTGCGGGCAGAAAGCCGACGAAAATAAATATAAATAAGTGCAAATGAAAATGGAAAACTTGGAAAAGCGTAAGATGAAAACGCAAATCGCCGCCTCGCATAGCGCTAAATGTGTGCGGTAAATATTGATTGGAAGACCAAACCAAGGTAAAGTAAGCCAGAGATGCGGATTCTGGCTGCGAAGGTTGGCTTGTGAAAGCTGGATAGGTGGCGGGGGGTTGGAGAGGATCGGGCGAGTGTATGCTGCGCTGGCTTAGCTGCGGTGCTTTTGCAACAGTTCGTGTGGCTTTCCACAAATATTTATTAGAAATAACGCAAGCGGGTGGAATTATGCGCATGCATTCTGATGCACTTTCTGAAATGAGGTTTTGCAAACAATTTCACAAAGTCAAAGTTCAGTTTCACATTTGACTTAACTTTAAATAATTTAATTGAGTTTATTTACTTGAATTACCTTTTGCACAGAAGCAGCTTGAGTTCAAGGAAATATCTTTAGAACTGGTTCGGCTGCAAGTAAAGAAATATATGCTTTTATTTAATAAGGCTGTATGAAATGCTGTTAGTTTTTCTTGGGTTAGTTGAGCCTTTAGGTATATTATATTATGCCTTAAAGACTTAAGGCTGTGCAATCAAGTAAAACGGAAGTTTGGCCAACATGTAACATATTTCTCTCAGTGTAATCAAGCCGTAATGAGTAGGCTCATTACAGATGTCAATTACCGAAACCAATTCCGAAAAGTCAGCGCTAACTGACACATTTACAGCTGCACGACTTTCCAGCCAGCTGATCGGCTAATGGTTAATGACAATTGTGAACACCGACAGCAACAACAACAACTTTAAACACTCGAAAATTGCGTAACAAATGCCGTGCCTACTGAGCAGCAGTTGGTCAACCACTGCAAAGACTGTGACCACTGTAACCACCGCTGTGAATGCTGTGAGGACCACTGTAACCACGGAAGCCATGTCCAATTGGACAACAAAAGCGCGCGCTGTCAACCTGTCAAATATCGCGAAATGACAACAATAGCGACAACAACAACAACAACAACAACAGAAACTTGTAATAATAGTTATCTGGGTTGTAAACAAGTTTATATTTGCTGCTTAGGCAAAATCGAAGGCGACAGGTGAACTGCATAGCTGAACGATTTGCTGTCAAATAATTAAAACTATTTGCGCTTATTTACAAATAATATCGAACGATTCTTCAACAACATTTCAATCACGAGCATAGCATAAAATCAAGCGTCAGCTGCGGGTGTGAAAACTTTAAGCGGCTTCCCAGCCAAGAAGCAAAATGTTCCAATATATACTAGATGAAAAGTAAATGGGAATGAAGGGTTGTACTCACGGCACGCCGAAGGGCTTTCAAGAGGAATTCTGTAGGTCGCAAATGCGAAAAACTAGTTTTTTTTCCCCAAATCTTTCTATAGAACTATGTGATATATGGGTTTAATGCTGATAAGAGTATGCCCAAGTGCAGTGAGTATATCGAAACTATTTAATGACAAGTTTAGTAAAGATGTTAAAGGAAACAAGATCTTGCTTATACAAAAACAAGATTGATTCTGTTACACAATATAGAATCCCAATTCCGTCCGATTTCTCTAACTAAAAGTAAGGAATCTTTTCTTCATTTTCTTCTATGTGCCCCACATTTTGTGACTAGAGAATGATACCCGCTGAAAGGGTACCAAAAAGTTGGTTGATAAATACACAATGTAAGCTGCTTAAAGATTTTTCCGACTGATGTTTTCCTTGTGTACATTGGTTAAAAATAGTTAAGCTTTGCAGCAACAGCTGACAATGGGATGAACATGAAAAACCATGGCATTTATAAGCCAAGTAGATAGAACAATTTCGCAGAAAATAAAAATAACTTTGTTCAAAATATAAAGTTTAATATGCAAATAATTAAATTTACTCAGAAATTACAGGAAACTTTAGTTCAATTTATGAATTTTATATAAAGATAAGCTAACTGATTAGGTTAAACGAGGAAGTTAGCTTATTTAAAAACTTTGTTAATTGCAGTGAAAAAGCAGTTTAAACAAATTCGATTGAAGTTTCACTTTTAGCTGAGAATGGATCTGTACCACGGTGCTGCACTTGTTGGTAGACTTTTCTATTTGGGTATTACTTAAAGCTCTTGCACTTGTGCGTTTTTTTCTTGCAACATCTGCAACAAAGTTTGCCGCACAGTCAGTGCAGTTGCTCGTAGATATTTGATATTGGGTAAATTTGTGGCACATTTAGGCAATCAAATTGAAGATATTTGCCTCGAAAATGTTGATTCAAGTGTGACGCCACATTTGGTGGAAAACATTTTGGTCCGAGACTCTTCATTTCTAGCCAAATATGTTGCGTTCACGCCCTGTATTTGGCAGGTGACAACGCCCACAATTTTGATTAGTTTTGATTGCCCGAAATTGGAAAGTTTCTTTTATTTGGAGGGGAAGCAATAATTGAAATTTTGGTGAATCAAACAAATAGAAGAGAGGCCAGCAGCAGGCAATTATGTCAAATAAAAGTGAATAATTTATCAATTATGCTGCGTTTTATTAAAAACTTCAGCTTTTATTATATCTATGCAAAATGGCAATTAAAAACGAGGACACACAAAATTTAACCAAATTCGGAATATTGATGAAATGGTATGGAGGGTGTGCTGGTTGCTGACTTAGAAGAGCATTTATTAATTCAATTTCGTTGTCTGCCCCGAAATCGGAATATGAATAAAAAAAAGAAAAAACAATACAAATGCGAGGCAGAGCAAAATATTCGATTGAAATTTAAATTCAAATCAACTTTCCAAGCTGCCCGTAAATTTATGCAGAGATATTTTTCTGCTTTTTTTTTTTTTTTTTAATATTTTTGTTAGAATTCAGTTCCTAGTTGTACGTCAGAGACTCGATTTATGTGGCACGTTATTTCTTGAATGTTCCAAATGAAATGCAAAATGTGTGCCAAAAACAAAAAGAACCTTTCGAAACATAATTACGAAGTTCACTTGCATAGGCAAAACAGAAATATGGCTGCGCAGGCAGAACCAGAAGCACAAGAGGAAGAAGCGTTTACAGAGGAGAAGCAACAACAATGTGGGAGACTTAAGCCCAACATATCCCATATTTCATATACCCAACCATCTACAAACATATCGCATGGCAAATAAACAAACAAAAACACGACCCAAAAGCAAGCAAAATAAACGTGACAATGTTAAGGTACCATAAAGAGGCTGAAGTAGCCGAAGAGGAAGCGTATAACCGGCAGCAAAGGCAAATAAGCAAATGCGAAGAAGATGAAGTAGAAGTAGAAGAAGACGCAGTCGAAGTGGCAACTAAAACAACAATGTGAGAAAATGCAGACGCAAATTATGAAAGAAATTCTAGAACTCGACGATGTCAGCAGAGGGAGAGGCGTGGCGGGAAAAGGCAAGGCATGTGCCTTGTCAGACTCAGTGACATTTTCGAGTGGCTGCCATTTGGCTGTACTCGCTCCAGGTCCCAAGAGCCCCATCCCAATTGGACTTTGTATCTTTCGAAAATTGTTGTTGTTGCACTTATTTTGGGGCGCACATTTTGCAGACGTTGCTGCCGCATTCGGTTTTTGGCATTAACAAATTGCATGCATTGCATTTTTATTTGTTGCATTCAATAGTCCAAAATGGCTTTGCGTATTTCATGGGAATTAATGCAGTCTATTTTAAGCTAAATTTATAAAACAGATATGTCAAACATGATTTGCAGCTATAAAATGACCCAAAAATGTAAAAGCAAGCAACTTGCTCTTCTATGCGATTCTCATTAAGTTAAGTAAGAGGAACAAGAGAAAATCGATATACAAATGTTGTTAAAATCTCGATGAAGCTGTCGACAATAGAATCGCCGAGGCAATATGTAAAATATGTTCAAAAATGGCGTGCCGCATGCTACATGTGGCACAGTTTTTGCCAGATTTCAGATTTGTATACTGAATTTCTCAATTAAACTCCTCAAAAAATCCATTTCATTTGCCAAACTTTCCACAAGCTGGGCAAGTTTTTTTTTACCTCAAGTTCAAACACCTGCTTTAAAAACGGCTGCAACTCCGTTATATAAAGACCTGTTGGTTGGGCCGAATTCCAAGTCAATTGCAAATGACTTGTGGCAGCTGAGGCTAAGCCTGGCTCCAGTTCCGGTATTAGCCTGTCATAGACAAAGCAAAAGCATTGACCTGCCCTTCTCCAGATTGGAGATCGTGCCACAGTTTTAACTGAGTGCGGCAGGCCAACTGCGTGGGCTTAACGGTCCCAGAGCGGAGCAGCCAATTGGTATCTCAATAGGTCTATCTGCAAACGGGGCAAACTGGAACAATTTGTTGCCGCAATTTGCACCAGTTGCAGCCGCATCGACAACATCGACAGCATCGTCTGGCGGCAACAGCTTGCAGAGTAATCTGCCGCTCAATCAATTTGTTGCAGGTTTGTTTAGCTGTCGTTCGCATTTGCCGACTGTCTTTGCTGACTTAATCTGCCAGCTTATCAAATTAATCGTTTGAATTAGCCTGTTCTGCTCGGAGCAGCCGAGAGAAGACAGCGACAGCTCAATTTGTGTCTGTGTGTGGCTGCAACACAAATTGTGGCAATTATTTTGTTGAAAAGCAAACAACTTGCAACTCAAGTTACGCATCTTGTTAATTATGAATGAAATTTATGCAACAATGGGTGCAGTAGCCACACACACACACACACAACGATAACATTTGCATGCTGCAAAATGATTTAGTTTTTATCTAAGATACAAGCTACAAGCTTGGGGCAGTTGCGCCTGCGCCGCGAATCGGCGCGCAGATTGAGACTTGAACCGAGCTGATTTTGCATTCCCGATAGGCAGCCGGCACAAATGTCAGCCACGCACGCCCACAATACACGATCAACGTGCTGGGGCATCGGCGCGAAGGCAATTTGTTCAATTGCGGCAGCCTCTTGGGCGTCACAAATGCGAATCTCGCATCTGCGACGTCTGCATCTAAAAGGCTTCGCCCGCCGACATGCAACACTCTTTCAGCTGCCCCGGCGGCTCAGTTCAATTGACACAGTAACCTCGTCGCTTTTTTCATGCCTCATGAATGATTACCGCCTCCAGTTGCCACAACAACAACTACTTTTATGATGCATTGCGCTGTCTGTGCGGCCGCCAGCTCCGGCGACGGCTTTGGATGCCTCTCGTGTGTGTGCTTGTGGCTTGTGGAAATTTGTCATTAGGCACAATACTCGCGCATTCTCCTACTAGCTGCCTTGGACTTAACAAGCCAACTTGTTTGTTTCCATGTCCCTACCTGTGTGTGGGTATGCGCACTTTTGCTTTAGGTTTGCTGAGTTCTTGGAAATAACAGAATTTGCTCAATATAGATTTTATTATTTAAATTATTCAGTTATTTTGCTCTGCATATTTAGACCAAATTAAAAACTACGTTTGTGTTTCCCAAATGGTTCAAGCCTAGACTATAACTCTGAACTCTTAAGTTAATGAGTCGAAAATCGATTACAATCAAAATTAAGGCTATGTGCTTGCTCATACATCTTTCATAACGAGAGAGAGAGCTGATGATAAAGTGTCACCTGACATGATGACCACAACCATTTATTTGATCAAAGAGAACTTACACTTGATTATTTTTTAAGTTCAAAAGTAGCTAATAATCAAAATTAAGGCAATGCGTTTGCAATTCCCAAACGGTTTAAACAAATACTTTATAAAGGATGACCTGCTGAAAAGGTTAATACGTTCGTGCTAATTATAATAAAACTTGAGTCCGTTATTAATATTTTATTTATTCAATAAGAAATGGTGTATGACACAATCTAAATTCTCGTCTACATTTTCTAAATGATTCTTAACTCGATTTAAGTGTATTTTCGCTTCGGTTCTTTAAAATTAAATGTCTCTTGTCGCTTGTCTCGTTCCGGGACATGATGTTAGTTGAGAGCAGTTGCTGCGTTTGTTTTCCAGAAAATTGATTCAGCAACAAATATTTGCATAACTCATTAAGAGCGCTGCGAGATACGTAAACGTAAACGCAAACATTCACGTAAATGAAAACACGTTAAATAAGTTCATTATGTGCGTGTTTGTGTGTTAGTGTGTGCATGTGTGTGTGCGTGTCTGTGTGCAGTTTGTCGCGATCGTCAAGCGAAAATATTTTAATTAGTTTTTGGGCGGGGAAACGTCTCGAATCGCTGGCTAATTGTTGGCATTGGCTCAGCGAGCGAAACGAGCGCTGATTGTGTGCAGCATTATGGAAAGATTATGCAAACATGTTAAGGGGTTAAACAGACAACAGAAGCCAAAGGCTGGCTATGCAAATTCCAATGAAAAACTGAAGTAGAGTGGGCAGGAAAAGCTGCAGTTGCTGTGACAGCTCCGAAAAGAATAAAATTTGACAGGTACTCAACACTGGCAAATGACAGGACAGCAAAATAGCCGACAGCTAGTCAAACTAATTGATTTGCTTGCCTACAATCAGTTGCAACAAATGAATCCCTACGAGGAGATACTAGGCCAGGTGATGGACCAAATGCTTATGCAAAAGGACTGCAATACGGAGAACAAGCTGGTGCACGACAAGCTGGTCGTGCTGATGCGCTACAGTGAGTAACTGCATTCCGGTGCCCTCCAGTTCCCTACAGTGCTCCTTATCAGCAGGACTGCGTGACATTGCGGTGACCACCTCGAATGCCGCCTGTCATGCGGGCCGCTCCACGCCCTGTTACTTTGATGTGGAGCGCACGTTCCGTGTGCTGGGCATTGGGGTCCGTGGCTTGCGGGAGTTGCGTGATAGCAGTGCAGAGACTCAGCCGACGCCCATCAGCTTTAGTCCGGTTGAGACGCGCGACGAGGATATACACCAGAGTCCGCAGCTGGATATCAATCAGTCGCGCGGCTTGCGCAGCGGCCGACACATACCCAAATATATGCCGCCCTTTCCTGGTGTGCACACCTACAAGAACACCATGATGGACATTGTGACGGATCGTGGCTACGTCTCGGAGCGGCAACGTCGTGCCGAGCTGCAGCTGAGCACCCAGAGGGCGCTCAATAGGTACTACCTGCGCACACGGCCGGCTATCTCGCTATTCATTGAGCCGCAGCGCGGCACAGAATTCATGGGTGAGTCACCGGCAGCAGCAGCTAATTCTCGACAGCTGCTAACACTTCTGTTCGGGTCAGACAGTGCTCAATGTGAATGTGCCCAAAAAGCCGGCCTACTTAACGGCATTAATGCCGCGCGATGAGGTGTTCGATGTGGATATCTACGAGTTCAATGAGCCGCCCAATGAGAGGGGTGAGGGGGTAGTGCGTATTCCAAGCTATAAATTTGTTTATATTGAATATTTCCCAACAATTGTAGCACGAAACAATCCCTTTATGAAGAAGCCGCATGATAAAAGCGAGTGTAATCAGTCCATCGAAGAAGACAATAATGAAAATGAATCGGAAGAAAATGATGATGATCCGGATGATGATCGTGATCAGGAGCATGATCAGGATCGGGAGCGTGAGGATAACGAATTTGATGACGAGGACGATTGGCAACTGCCCAACTTAAATGACGATGACGAATCCTCATCATGAGAATATTTATGAAGTAATATTTTATGAAATTTAATATATATCAGCTGTGAGGCATAGTCAGTACTTAATCAATCGACTAGTATTTATATTTGGCATTGATATGCGATAAACTATTAACCTTTTACTTGAATCGATATCGTTCGAGCTGTCGAGCAAATATGAACTTTCCGCTTGAGTGTTCATTTTTGTGTCCAGTTCATATCAGTTGATTCCCTGCAGCTTCTGCAGTGCAAGCAATTTAATTTATTTCAATTACATTTCGTTAAAAACTGACACACGTTTTCGAGGGGTTTCCAATTGCCGCATCCAACACCTCGCATCAAGAGCCAAAAGGTGAAGTGAGGTGAAGTGAGGTGTTGGCCAAAGTTCAAAGTGCTTTACTGTAGCACTTGCCTGGTTCCTGCCTGGTTCTCTCCTGTTCCTGGCTGCTAACGGTAACGATTCCAGAGTATTAAATAACTTTGTAATTTAATTAACTTTGACGTCGACGTCGACGTCGTCTGCGTCTGCGTCTCCGTCGTGCCGCTTAACTTTGATTAACGTTTGCAATTTTTCAACAAGTTTGAGTTGAACTTCGCCTCACGTAGCTTAAATGCCAGGTGCGCAGGGCCTTAGAAAGGGAGACGAGCGGTGGGGCAGGAAGGGGGCCAAAGGATTCCCCGTCTATGCTTGAACTCAAGAGTTTGGATTACACGCGACTTTTGCAAGTGCCCGGGCTGTTGCAGTTATTTGTGTCTCTCAAGTTATTTGAGCCAAGTATTTTGAGATTAGAGCACTTGATGCTGCGGACTCAAGATGCTGTGGTCGTATTAAAGTCTTAAGGGGCCTTAACTGGCTAGCTGACATAATAATAATATGAAATAGAATACCAAAAAGTCACATAAATTGGCTAAAATAATTATACACCTAAAAATCGTTGCTAATTATTGTCTATTTTGGGCCAATGCTTTCCTTAATTTTATTGCAACATTTTGTGGCACAAGCGTTTGTGTATTTTTGGTTTGATTGCAACACGTTTCCGTTGATTATTTGATTTGGCAACAGCTGAAAGCATTTCACACACACACACGCACAACACAGACATAATTTGACTTTGATATTGTGCCAGGGCACAAGTTGCAGCTGCAAATGCAGTTGATGATGCAAAAGGAGGCAGCTGCCAAGCGCCGCCTCTTGTTAAACTTGCCAAAAACGATTTCAATGTTGTTGTTGTTGTTGTTGTTCTTGTTGTTGCAGCATTAAAATGCATAAACATAAACAATCAAAAACGAGAAATACAATTTCTACATGCCTCATAAAGACTGGAGCCCATTAAAAGCCAAAGCCAAATTCGAAATATGCAATAACTGGCGCAAATGAAACCTCAGCAACAAATGAATTCGTAATTTGTTTAGACGATGATTTGTTGCTCCAGATTAGAAATTCTGTTGTTTTCTTCTACCATTTATATGTGCGTATATGTATATAGATATTTTTTATTTTGCGGCTTGTGCCCGTTTCGGTTGTCATTTTAACCTAATTTAACCCATGTTCGCCAGCGGCAACATTTTTGTTTATTTACGATCAACATTTGTGGTCCGCTGAGATATATTGAAAATTATGACACAAGTTTGATTTTTTCAAAAAAAAATAAATCTTCTTCATTTTTTGTGGCAAGGCCAGTGGGCGTGGCTTAGGCCATGTAGTTTCATTTATTTATTTTAGTTGTGCTCTTTTTTAGGCACAGACGCATAAAAAACAAACACACAAACAGCGGAAGTGGAAACATGCAATAGCACACAGAACAACAAAAATAAACAAACAACTAAAAAAGTGAAGAAAAATATATTTACAAGACGACTACCAAATGCTCTCTAGCTCGTTTAAGTAATGTTAGAAACTTGTGAGACCAGAGAAAAATCAACCAGAGCTGAAAATCAAGCCAGAAGCTCAAATCATTTTGAATACACGTGCATTTAGCTAATAATTTGATTAGCAATCTTTTTTTTTTCTTTTGATAAGTTCTTAAATTTTGATTATATTGAAATGCATTTATTATGCTTTTACCCTTTCGTATGCAAAAAGTCGACTTCATCATAAACCTTAAATTTTCATTTCGGTTCACACACACACACACACACAGGAAGGCACAGCATGTGTGTGTGTGTGTGGGTATGTTATCTTGTTTGTTTGTGACCCGCTTGGCCAAACAAAAGCCAATTTTTCATAAATCTTTCCCGAGCCGCACATTGCCCCCTCTCATCTTGCCGCCCCTTATCACAATTCCCCTGTCAACTCACAACGCACTCTTTCTCTTTCCCTTGTTCTATCTCTCGCTCTCTCTCTCTCATTCTGTTTTTCTCACTCTCTCGGTTGCCATTTTACGGTTGCATTTAACCTTTTTCTCTCGAAATACACTTTAAAATTTACCGCTCTGTTGTTTGGCCATAAAAATGTTGTTTGTTGTTTCGGTTGCTCATACGCCCCGTTGTCAGTGTGCCCAGCTATACAAATTGCCGGCTCGTTATAATTATGACGTCGTTTCAGCTCTTGTCAAGCGGCATTATGCGTACATGTGTGTGTGCGTGTCTGTGTATCTGAGTGTCTGTGTGTGCCGGGAAAAGTCTCTAAGCAAATCAATTCAAGTTCACGCGTCTTTCAACGGCTTAAGAATTTGCGAGGCGTGTGCGAATTTTTACTTCAGCTTTACTTTTCTTTTGTGACTGGCTTTTGTTGGCATTTTCCTCGCGTCAGAAATGCCAAAGCGAACCTAAAGTTGCCTTTCAGCTGTTGTTGCCCTTCAGTTTATTTGATTTTTATTTTGGTTTTGTATGGCCTGTACCTCTTTTTTTTTTTCGGCTGCCTCGTGTTATTTATGTGCATGTATTTTTATTATTTTGTATGCTTTTTAATGCATACAGCCAGCATGTAGATGAAGCAGAAGCAGAAAGCCGAAGCAACAGCAGCAGCAGCGGAGAAACGCCAGCAAATCGCTCGTCAGACACGCGCGTGTTTAGCATAAGAATTTGCCATTGACTTTCTGTCTTTCGCTTGGGAATTACAAATTTCTTTGGCGCTGTCTCCTAAATGACCAAATGGCCAAGCAAACAGCTGTACTCAACTAATCAAATGAGCCGAGAGAAAGCCTTTCGACTACATTTCGCCAACGTGTGAAGTTGAATCGTATGTCAAATCAAATCTACGAGTAAATATAGCTTGGAAAACTTTTCAACAAGTTCAATTTAACAAGTCATATTTCTTTTGCTAAGTAATTGAAATGCTCATAAGTTTTAGTTGTTGAAATTGAGGCGAAATTGTTTTTTGGCACACAATAGTTGTGCATAGCCCAGCACTGTTCACTGTATTTTGTCCCTACAACTGTTCATTTGTACGTGTTATTTGCACGTTTTGCTGCTGCTTTATGGCTGCTTTATTATGTAGCTCAGACCCAGACCCAGACCCAGACCCAGATCTAACTCCCTGCCCGTCCTGCTCAGAGGCAACTTGCTGCTACCCAAGTTTTCTCCTCTAGTTAAGCGTGTGTATGTGTGTGTGTGTATCAAATGGCTGTGCGTGTCGAAGTGTATGTTGCTGTTGTGTGTGTGTTTGTTACTCGATATTATGGCATCTATATAAAAGTACATTTATTGTATACATGTACATGATATGTATTTTTAGCATCGCTGGCGCGTGTTACGTGTTAAAATTAACACGAGGAGCCACAAGCAGCTGCCACGTTGCGCATACGCCGCGTGTGCCACCTGCCTCGGCGTGTGTGTGTGTGTGTTCTGCTTGATTAAATTGATTGAATTTGATTGCTGTGTCTGAGTTGCTGTTGCCCGTTCAGAGTTGCCAATCTGGCAAATGTTGTGCACTTTGTCTTGCAGCCCTGTTGCATATTTCATAGACGACGGCAAAAGCAATTAGTTACGCGTGGAGTGCAGCTAACATGGCTCTGTGGCAGGACGCCCAATTGTGTAGCCAGCTCACCTGTCTTGCCTTCAATTCGCTGAAGTGAAATGCAAATTTGCCTAAGACGAAACACAGCCGGCAATTTCCACGAAAATGCAATGCAATTGAATTAATGAGCTGCCGAAGCACCCTGAGAACAAGCGAGAAACAAAGGGAGAGAGACAGAGTGGGAAAGGGAGTGAGAAATGGCATCTATGGATAATGTTTTGAATACCTAATGTCTTTATTATGCCAAAGCGTGCAGCGTGCAGCTTCAACTGCAATTGCCTCTCATACATTTCAAAGTACCAGTACAAGTTGAGCTTTGACAATTACAATGCGCTTGAGGATCGGCCAAGATGACTACATCTCCAACTCGAGATACTATTCAGTGTCTGGGTCCGAGCATTGCTTCCGTCAGCGGCCTGTCTCATTAGCCCCATTGCAATTGTGCGCATTCCAAGCAGTTTGTTATCTTTTGTCAAAGCAAACACAAAAGCAAACACTTGCAATAATAAATAGCTATTATGATGATGATTATGTTTTTGATTATGCTGCACTGAGCTGAGCTGAGCTGAGCTCAGCTGAGCTGCCTTGTCGTGCAGACCAAGTTTCCCATTTTATAATCATAACAAGTGCAAAGAGCAACTGAAGTGGCATCAACTACTTTTGGCCCACTGAGCTGCCCATTTGCGTCAGCCAGTCGCCGAACAATGCCTTGGCCAAGTCGTGGCAGGAAGTCAGCTAAGTCAGTTATCTCACGCGACAGCCTTGGCAGGCAGCTAGCTGTAAGGTGAGTAGAACAAAGGCATGTTGCATAGTGTAAGCGGCGCCTAACATCACAAATGAACAAGTGCACCGGCACCGAGTGTACCGACTGCTAGATGCTCTATAGATGATTGAAATGCTGCTCTCTTAATCATGTGATATATTAAAAATGTTAAAATGTCTTTTAAAGAAATTTGTATGTCGTAAAAAAATTTAGTGTATATCATAAAATTTTGACATTTCTATAACATTTTTTTTTGTTCTATAAAAGTTGCGGGGTTTACCTAATTTATGCATCTCTCGTTTGTAAAATTTTCATTAAGAGGGATAGAATTTACAAAAAGTGTGAAATAACTCTTACATGTTTACAAAGATCTTTAAAAATAGCTTGGCAGCAGTTCGA